CTGTTTTTAGCCAAAGTATCCTCCCATAGAAGCTTCTGAATGGGTTATATGAAGGTGCTTTACACTACCTTTATAATATGGTACTGTAAAGGGGTAACAACTCACTCCTCTGCTCCCAGGTCTGATGTAACACTCCGAATGGTTTCAGTTTAGTCAGGCAGCCGCAGGAGAGTGCCTACATTTCCAGAAGTTTCAGTGAAGAGAAAACCCATTTCCTACATTCAAGTTTTAACAGGTTCTAAAAGAATGTGGGCCTATATTGAGAGTAGGTAAATGAGATATTAATCACTGCAGTTCTGTAACAGCGTTCTCAAGCAAAGTCTGCCATTAGGTTTCACAGGTGCTTTCCTTGAATCTCCCCAGGCATAAAAAGGTTAAATGCAGCCCCATCATAAATTGGGTTTACAAGTTTTATAATTAATGTGAAGCGGTATGTAATTTTTTATACTTAGATTAAAAAAAAAATTAAAATAAGAAAAAATCTTTACAGGAAGGGTTGTCAAGCACAGGAACAGGTTGCCCTGAGAGGCTGTGAAGTCTCTGTCCCTGGAGACATTCAAAAGCTGACCGGACACGATCCCGGACAGCCCGCTGCGGCTGCCCCTGCTTTGACCAGGGGGCTGGACTGGAGCTTGTCAGAGGTCCCTGCCAGCCTCAGCCCTTTTATGTTTCCGTGATTAATTGGGCTCAGCAAAAGCATATTTGCTTATGTGATCTGAGAGTTATAGTTTCTAGATTTGTAATATAATCTGTAATAGCCTCTATGCATAAATCACTATAATTTCTGCTTAATTTCTAATTTAAACTAAGTGCTCGTGCATTCTCTTCAGCTTCTCCCCTACTGAAGGCAGAACAAAATGTGGCCTTGCAATATGTGTTTTTAAAAACACTGTAGTGAAATATGATCTTGTATTCCTTTTAGAGATATGTGATGGGAATGGCATTATCAAGTAGAGGACATTGAAAGATCAATATAAATACACTTCATTCCAAAGTCATTCATAGACCTCACTTGCTGCTGGCTTTTTTTAATATCTTACGTAAAAAAAAGAAACATAACTCAGAATTGGTAAGACTGATTTCTGCCTGACATGTTTGAAATTTTACTCTGCTTTGAAATGGATGATTTCCCCTCAAGCTTCTGATTGACCACTTCTCCCTTCCCTGTGCCTGAAGCCTCTCCCTACCCACCCCAAGGAGCACTCGCTCTCCAGCTTCTCTCAAGGCCACAGACTCTGCACCTGCCCGTGGTGCTCCTGGTTCTTCCCCGCTAGTGTTCACCAGCTTTTACTGCCTTTCTTTTATGGTAACCACCCCAAACCAGTGCAGCCAGCGGTCCCTTGTGGGCCTTGCAGAGGAGGTTTCTCTGGGAGGGCAGCTGGGGTTTCCCATTGCCGGGACTTCAGGGCAGCTCTCTTGTGCTGCCGCCTCCAAGTTTGCACAGGCACATGCAACCACAGCTTCCCTGCAGGAAGACTCAGGCCACACTCCCTAATTTCAGAGTGGTTTAAAACAATCCGTAGCAGTATCTGGCAATGGAGAAATACTAGCTTCAGCTCAGTTACTGGCCCAGAGGCTAGATGCTCTGAAGGGGTGAAGTATTCATGTGTGATGGAAGCAGTCTCTGTAGGTGCATTGGGTCAGCACCATTTGCTTACAGAAATAAGTGCCTGAATCCCTGGTTGGGTTCCCCCCCCCAAAATAGAAGTTAACTTATTGGGTGGCCAGGTCAGTCACTGAGATGGGCACTCATATATGACACAGCAGCCAGTTTGGTTGCACCAAAAGTGGGATCCCTCACTTCAGATTCCCACAAAACACCTGTACAGCAGAAAATGCTGTTTGCTCTAACTAAATGTGACTAAACCAAATCCTTCTTGGGAACAAAGCAAATCTTTCACAATCCCTTTGAGGAGTGAAGGCCACTGCTGTCATTAGATGGCAGCACCTTGGGCCTGACTATCACATGCTCAAAAGCTGAGAGAACCAATTCAAGTGCACCACTTGAAATATCACGCTGACTTTATAGCTCATCTCCCTGTTTGTGTCTTGTGGGAATGGTAAATCTGGGGCTAATTCACTAACTGCCACATACAATTTCAGGCACCGTATTTGATCTGAGTTAGCACAGTTCTTGTCATCCTGATTTTGTCTTACAGCTGGAATTACTGTAGGCATGTTACACAAGTGCTGTTAGTTACACGTCCTCTTCACCTCACTGACCGTATGTTCCCTGCTCCAACCAGCAGCAGTTTAACCGTAGCCTGAGGCTGTTTTATTGTCTACCAACTTACCTCTTCATATGAAGTGTTAGTCAGACACACCTTTGCTAAGGAGGCAAGTCGTGCTTCAGTGCTGGCCAAGAAAATGAAGACTGCAGTAGGTCAGATGTGTGAGATGTGACACACAGGGACTCCTTGGTTTGCATGTGTTCCAAGTTTATCAACAAACTTTCAGTATATGGAAGTCCAGGAAAAGGAATTTGACACTAATGGAAAACAAGACCTTAATAAAAGGAGCTAAAGATCTTGTGATGTAATGCTGGAGAACAGCTGTCTCTTTAAATGGAGGCTACAGGCCTGAGATGCTCCTGTTCAATGTGTGTGCTCATAAGAATGCTTTGTCTTTCTAGATTTATCTGATATTGATTTCAGAAAAAAAGTGTCACAACAAAATTGCAAAAAAAAAAAAAAAATCCATGTCTCTATTATTTGGACAAAAAAAAGGCTTGCTAAAAAAGGCTTGCTGTGTAAGAGGGGTAGCGAATGTAGAGCAAAGTAGCAAACGCAAACCTGTGCTGCTGGAAGAAGTGCAACTGCTTAAGTTGCAATAAGAGAGCATGTCGCAGAGAATCACTTTCCGTGGTAAAGTTGACCCGCTGAAGAAGAAAACCAAGTAAAACAGGCAACCAAGACAGTATAGGAATATTTGTAAAGGATTCTAAACAAAGAGGAAGCACAAGATAAAGAAAAGAGAATGCATTTAAACTGTAACCAAAATCTTAACTCATACAAACAACTTGAACAATATGACAGCATAAACCAACAACAAAATAACTGGAAACAATAGTTATCCATTCTTTAAAGGGGTGTCATTGTACAGTCGATAGATTTGTACCTTAGAGAAGTCTGGATATTACCTTCTCTGTCGTGTGCTAAATTCAGAGTTCTAGTTCTGTTCTGACACCCACAAGAATTTAAAATCATGTATAATTTCAAACACTGTAATATTCAAACTTGATTTTAAAGCTGTGGTCCAGATCTTCTGCTGTAGTTTGCAGGCAGTGGAACTCTACTGAATCATGCTGTACAAGGACTGGCTGGAGGTATTTTAATGTTGCTGTGTGTTGATCCTTCTTTTATTTATGACACTTGGACTTTTTTTAATATTCCTGTGGAATAAGTATTATTTTGTGAGTATTTTTGTTACTAGAGTTAACCTGCTTAAGCACTGTCTCTTTCCTTTTCAGTTGAGTATATACTAATAATTTAAAAATATCTTTGTTATTTTGGTTATGGTAAGTAGGGGGATTGGGTTTTTTTTTTGGTTCAAAATATTCTGAAATGTTCTGATGCATAACTCTTTCTGCCAGTGTCCAGAAATCCTTTTGATTCCATTCCCGCATACCAAAAGATTTTAACCTTTGTTAACAGAGTGTTTCATGTACAAACCAAAGCAAATATAAACTTAAGGGACTGTATGGACAGGTAGGGTTACTCATGTACACTCTCACTCCAGCTCCTGTTTGTTGATTCACGTGTTGTATATGGTGTGCGTCCAAAGTGTGCACTCTCCAAGATGGGAAGTGCATTGCTTTTGTAGTTTTGACTCTGGTTAATATTCTGAGGCTCTGATTAACAATTACGATCCCCAAGAATTATCTCGCTTGCAACACAGCTGAATGATTTCTGTATTCTTGGGGTATCCAGCTTAATTTGTGGAATAATTACTGGCAGCCCTTTAGCATGGGACTAGTGGAATATCAGAGTATTGTGTCTTGTTAGGGTGCAGAGATGACTGAGGTACTTATCTTGGAAAACGAACACAAGTAACCCTAACTGCTAATGATTATTAAAGAATTCAGATACATCCAGTCATTTTTGTCAGAAATATAGGACTAGCTATTAATTTTCCCACTGTCGTCATGCTGTACTGATTTTATTTCTTTTCATGTGTTTGCAAACACTATCTTAAAAATATTTTTGTGCATCTTCTAGTTTTTAGTACTAAAGCTGCCGTTACAATCATTATGCCTTCATCAGGGATAACATCTATACCGTCTCTGATAGAAACTGAAATTCCACTGAATAACATAGAAAACTTATTAATTTGGAGCTTCAGTTCTGAGGCTGTAAGCTAGGCTGAGGGGTGGGCAGGGGCTTTTACAGAGCAGGCTGACTGCCCCGCTTCCAGCTGCTGTGGTAGTCCAGGGTCAAGCTTTTCAGGGCTGCCCTCCTCCAGGCAAAGGAGCCGGGTGGGAGCCTCCCCCTGCTGTGCGCCCAGCCGGGCAGGGCAGGGCGAAGACCACTGCACCCTCGCTATTAACAAAAGGGAAGCTTCATTTTTACAGTCCTAAAGGTCAGGGAGGGATCCAAGCAAACGCTTCATTTTTCCCCACGGAATAGGGATGATCTGAGGGATATTTCAGCACTGCTGTTGGCTGCTGCAGAAGGAGGGAACCCGCAGCTGCTGTAGCTGGGGTTTATTACAGATGAAGGCACAGCTCCAGCAGGAGAGCGGCGGCAGACCACCGGCAGAGGGGCAGAAGTTGCTGTGAGAGATTTTCTCACTCATCCCTGTTCCCACAGTCGCTGCACACCACTAAACTTTCCTCTGACCAAAACTTTGTTTCCTGGACTATTACTGGAAAGCAGAAGCATGGAGAATTTGTTCACACTGCTGTTGGAGACAGCAAATTTCTCCTTTTAATCCTGAATATTATTTACAGATTAGAAACTCCAGTATTATACAATATTATTTTTGCTAGAGAGAGAGAAAAAATGGATGCATTCAGAGCACCTGAAAATGAGTCGCTGCTGTCCAGTTCCTCTGGTCCTGCCAGGTGGGATCCCTTCCGTCGTCCCTTGGACTCCGTCCAGCCCTGGCACTTCAGGCTCCTGGCAGCAGTAATGTTGGCGGTGACCTCCCTGTCGCTTGCTGAGAACCTGGCTGTAATCCTGGTGACTCTGAAGTTCAAGCAATTGAGACAACCTGTCAATTACGTTATAGTCAATTTGTCTGTGGCCGATTTCCTCGTCTCACTGACTGGTGGCACCATCAGCTTTTTAACCAATCTGAAAGGTTATTTCTATATGGGATACTGGGCTTGTGTACTGGAAGGATTTGCTGTCACATTTTTTGGTAAGCTTGATTTTGTTTGTAGTTGTGTGTCCTTTTCCTTCAGTTTCCTTCAGTGTATTCTGCTAGCGATCCCGGCAGCTTCCCGTCACTGACTGCATGCCTCTGCACTCACTGCTTCTTTCCCCAGTTATGTCTCTTCTGTAGTGGATCTCAGGTGTGAGTGAATAACATGTATCGCCATCTCTGTCATATATCAGTGGCTTGTCGCATGTATACTGATCACTGAATATGTTTAATATAATGAGAAAAAGCTTGCTAATAGAATAACAGTGTTGTGGGGTTTTTGGTAAAACAATGTCAGAAAAAAATTCACTATGTGTAACTATTTTCAAGGTTTGTATTTAGGTGTGTGCATATACAGATAAACAAGAGAGAGAAAAAGAGTGGGTGGCTGGTCTTAAACTGTGGAAAATATCAGGGCATAGAAACATCATATGTTAGCTACGCACCGGTGGTTGCAAGGAACCGTGACACACCTGTGACAGTCACCCCTCACAGCTACATCTTTTTGTGATTCTTTTTCTTGGCTTTGTTTTACTAACTACTCGAAAAGTATTAGAAGTACTCTAAAAGGGAGAATCCTCACCACGTAGTTCCCTGTGTAAATACACCTCTGCAGAATGAATGGGAAATTAGTTTAAAATGGGACATCTACTTCCTTGAGGTAGACTTTCATTCCTGCCTCACCGTTCCTGTCTCTGAAGCTGCATCGTAAACACAGCCTTCTAACGCTTGTCACTGCTCTAAATCAAACACACTGATGATCCTCAGCCTGAAAAGGAGTCCCACAGTTCCTCTCAGCCTGGTTAAGCTATACAGAGGGAATGTCGGTGAGGGACAATGCTACTAAATCAGTTTCTGGCATGTAAGCCGTGTCCCATGGAGAAGGATCGGGCTATTTCAAGATTTTGGTGGCCAAGCGGGTGATATGCGCCTATTAAACTGATAATTTGATGTTGTGGGCAGCTGTCTGTAGGTGAGAGTTTTATGACGGTCTGAAATATGACATTTCTTGCAAAGATAGCGTTTTTGAAGATATATCTTAATTTGTTAATTTGGAAGCTACACATAATTTGCATCTTTTCAGAGTAGAACCAAAGGAAAAAAAAAGCCTTCGTCAGTTAAATGGCCCAGTTAGCTGCTTGGTTTTGTAGTCATTACGCTGTGGACTGACAAACTAGACAAATATGAAAATCTTTGCTCTTAAAAAATATCAGAATAATGCACATAAATTGCACATCCTTTCACAACTTGGGTTGATGGAAAAGGTGCCTGATGTGGTGGATGGTCAAACACTGGAACAGGTTGCCCAGAGTGGTTGTGGAGTTTCCACCTGTGGAGATACTCAAAACCCAGCTGGACTTGGTCCTGGACAAGCTGCTGTGTGGACCGTGCTTGAGTTGGGGGGGTGGGGTGTTGAACTAGATGACCTCCAGAGATGCCTTTCAACCTAAACAATTCTGTGGTTCTCTAATGTGAGATGGTGTTTGCTTTTCACTGAATCTACCCCATTTTTGATGCTGACTGTGTTTTCTTACTATAGGCATTGTTGCTCTCTGGTCTCTTGCTCTGTTGGCTTTTGAGCGGTATGTTGTGATCTGCCGCCCATTGGGAAATATGCGCTTGAGGGGGAAGCATGCAGGCCTAGGTATTGCCTTTGTGTGGACATTTTCCTTCATTTGGACCATTCCACCGACAATGGGTTGGAGCAGTTACACCACCAGTAAGATTGGAACTACTTGTGAGCCCAACTGGTAAGGCCACTCTTGAAGAGTACGGTAAAGAAATGTAACTTGCAGCTCAGGATGTCTCAGGGGCAAGAATTTAAAGGAAAGGTTTAAAGATGGTGTACATCTCTGCAAAAATGGAAAAAGAAAGTTGTAACAAAACTGAGCAAAATTTGCCAAGAACAGATTTTAAAAAAAAAAAAAAGGGAAGCTCCAGGGAGGAGCTTCAGTCTCTAATGAAAATAACCATCCTATACCTGGTGCTTTCTGTCAGGATTCAAAGAGGACAAAGAGACAGATTTTTCAGAAGACTGGACAAAACCCTGAGCAACCTGGTCTGACCCCATAGCTGACTGCACTTTGAGCAGGAGGTTGGACTACACGTCCTTTCCCGCCTGAACTGTCCCACTGTGCCTACGATCCTATGGTCATAGGATCCTGTGCTAGCCCATGGCCAGGGAGGTGGCCCAGGGCTCCAGCTGGCGATATGACTAAAGTTGTAAAGGGACACTTTGAGTAAAAATAGTCGACAAAAAACTAGTGACAGCTTTGAAGAGCAAAATTAATATTTCAAGAAAATAATAAGAACACACGTTAGTGATACATACGCAATCGTATTTTGTGTTTTATACAGGTACTCAGGAGCTTATATCGACCATACGTACATTATTGCATTCTTCACTACCTGCTTTATAGTGCCTTTATTGGTGATTTTGGTATCCTATGGAAAACTGATGCAGAAGCTAAGGAAGGTAAGAAGAAGCACTTGTAAGTAAACTTTTTAAATGCTTATGTATGCAAACATTTGGAATTTTTGTGTTCGATTTTTTTATAAAGATCAGACAGAAGCAGATCAAAATTCCAGGCAGCAAGTGCTCTCACTTACCATCCCTTGTTATATAATTATCCCTGCACACAGAAATTCATGCTACGGTTAGAAAAGATTTTTCAACGTGTGCAGTTTGCATCACTTATCGGTACATCTCGTGAACCAAACATCATACAAATGAAAGAATGTCTGCCTTGTAAATAAAGAAACTGAGTGACCCAACATTGGTTTATTTACAATTGTACTTCAATTCAGTGACGTTTCTTAAGACTCAAACCAGGCAAATCAGAATTTAGCTTAAAATTTTAAGAGTGATGGCTAATATTCTGTAACACATGCAGAATAAGATGTAGCATTTGTAAACAATGTAATGCTGTTTAGTAAATAAAATACTAGATTGTCCAGAAAAATTTAAAAGACTTGAGAAATGCTTTTGAATTTTATTTAATGATTATGTTGACTTGATCCAAAAGAGAATCTGCAAAAAGTGAAAAAGAAGACAATAAAATAGGAAAATTCCTATTTGGTACCGGATTTTGGGACAATATTGTTATTTCTATTTACTGCAAAGCTGCCTTGTCTTATTGCTTCAGTAATAAATTCAGTAAATTTCTTCAGTTTACTGATGTTTTTAAAGTATTTGGGATAGTCAAATGTTTGTATTTATTCTGAGCGTTGTTGTCTCTAAGTAAAACAAAACAGAAGGGAAATGCAAAAAATATTTTATTTTCTCATTTGAAAATAGAGATTGGAACATGCATACTTCAGGTGACATCATGATTCCTCTAAACAGATTTTTCTTTATTTCCTCCAGGATGCATTTAGGGGAGAAAAGGTTAAATGGCTGGGAGAGGTTGGTTTCAGTATTAAACACAAGAAGTTTCCCAAGTTGAATGTGAACTGCAGCACAGGTGCATTGCTGCTCACAGCGCTCGTGGAGAGGTAGCACAGTGTCTGTTGGTGCAAGGGTGGGGACATGAATTACAAGACGTGGAGATGCTTGAAGAAAATCATTGTTGATGACTCAGACTGTCCTAAGATAACTTGTAAAGCTATGATTCTGTTATTCGGAATATCCAGAACTTTTATTAGTATTTGTTGTTCCCTCTCCTAACCTACCTGCAGTGAAAAAGGAATGGAGAGAGCTGGGGGGGCAGACCTCCCTGCTGCTGATGCCGCCCTCTCAGTGCTGCCCGGGAGGGCAATGCGCTCCCCAGGGAAGGAGCTCTGCCACTTGGCTTGGGAGGCGGAGGACAGCCACCCCAGACCAGCCACCTCACAGGGCTCCAGCTCCTGCCTGGGGCACCCCTGGTGAGGGCATGTGCAGCGGGTGGCAGGCGTCCCTCCCACGGGCTGGTGGTCACGGCACGGGCCCTGCCCTGCAGGGATGGGAAAGGGCCACCTCCAGGAGGCTGTTCCTGGGAGGGAGAGCCCATGGGTGGCCCGGTGGCCTGGCATGAAAGGGAGGGATGTTAACCCAACAGAGGGGATGTGAAGGGAACGAGACCACTTGCCAAGCGTCCAGCACTGTGATGGGTTTGCCAGAGCAGTGGCTAATGTGCTACTCGGATGCTTCAGGAGGTGCACGAAAAGGGCTATGTCCTTCCCTTGCAGCCACTTAAGAGGCTGCAAGCTAAAAACAAAGCAGGTGAGATGAGGAACAAGGGAGACAATGAAGGAAAACGTCACCGTCAGTCACAGCAGAAGCCAGTGCATGGTCCGTCTTGCCATTTGCGTCAGGTCAGGATGTCTTCTGGAAGACTGATCTGTGCCAGGTAGTGGGTCCCAGCGTTGGCCTGCAGCCACTGTGGTGTGATCTTGCTAGGCTATCTTTCTCACTCCTCTCTCCGTTATCCAGAAAGAATAGCATTAATATTAAAAAAACCAAAGCACACTTCTCGGTAAGCGGTGTGTTTCACACTCCCCTTGCAGCTCGGTGACCTGACAGACCACACAGCTGGGAAATGCTGAGGCGGCCTCAGGGCACCTCATCACAAATGATTTCCCCATAGCCTTCTGGCTTGTGCCAGTCCTTGCCTTTGGCTTTTGTTGGCTTTTACAGAGAGATGTAACTGCACGAATTGGCCTCTATTACTTTTAACAGCTTAAAACAGTCTGGTGTAGAAAAGCTAACTGGCTGCAATATATTCTGTAAATGTATAATGAATTGCCATAAGGCTCTATCTCACAACTAGGCTAATTTTTAAAAATCTGACTATGGTGAACAGAGAGAGACCCACCACCAGAACTGGGGTCTTGATGTTCCCAACCACCCCTCTTCCTGGATTTTGACTGCCATGTCCCATGGTTGCCACAGTGCGGACTTTGGCCTGAGTGTGAGTTTGGCACTGTTTTGTCTTACCCCAGTCTGCTGGTCCCTCAGTCCCCGTGACCCCAGCTTTACAATGACGATAGTAGCTTTCACTACAGCTGTAAAACTAATGGAAGAAATGAATGTTCAGGAAAAGATCTAATTAACAGTTTACAATGGAGATAAATTATTATGGCAGTATTCCTTGATTTTAAGATAAAGCACCAGTACATGGGTCCTTATCAGTTTCGTGTTCTCAGATTTAGAGAGAAAGGAATCTACTGCCATCCACAAAAAGCCATAGCTGAGGAAAAGGCCAGGCTGATACGAGACAACGACAAAACAGTCACAAGCACAATCCAGGAGATATTGTATTTCTTCCCCAAGGTGACGGCACTGCTGCTGAAAGGGAGGCTGGGCTGCTCTCTCCATAGGCACAGTGTATATGAAAAAAATGCTATAGAAATGTCATGTATTGGCAGGGAATATCTTAGCTTTGCTCAGCACCTAACACAGCCTTCATTGATGCCTAAGAATTTGTAGGTATGATGACAATTCATTATTAATATTATTGTTGTTGTTGTTGTATTTATTGTTAAAAAAATTACATGAATTACAACTTTCTACAGAGGTAAGGACACCCCTCTCCCCAGGAGGTGCTTCTATGCCTGTGTAAGTACTAAATATGTTAAATTATCTGCGTGCAGTGCAAAGGTTATTAGGGAAAATGTCTCCATTCAGTTCTAACATTACTGTGGAAAGCTAAAAGGCCATATTACACCAAAAATTCTTACTTTATTAACATGTATTATTGCAAGACCTGGCATCAGGTTTTTCTAGAGCCGTACAGAGTTGTCATTAGTTACTTCCCATGTAAACTAACAGTACGTAACAGTGCCTCGTTTCACTAAGTCATCAGAAACAAAACAAGGATGTTTCCCAGAAAGACGTTGTATGACATCACATAATCGCTGTATCAACATTTCTATCTAAGCTGCTTGCCTGATCAATGAGTGGGAGCATTCCTGAGCCCCAATCCCACTTTAATTCTGGTGGCATTAGATCACAGATGCTCTTCTGGTGAAGGCCATAAAGCACCACAGAGCTTGACAGCCCCTCCTGGTCACTGCTGCTTAGTCTGGCCTAAACTTCACTCATGGCAAGGAGGCTGCACAGCAAAGTGCTGTCTTTAACACCCATATCGGACACGTAGTTGTCTGCGAAGGCTACATGAAAAAGAAAGTGCTTGAATTCAGGCTCGCTATCTGCTTACGACTCGCTAAGAAGGCCTTCTTTTTCAGTAATTAAGTCACGATCATGCCTTCAGTTAAACTCTTGCAATTACTGTGGGTAGCCATAATGGCAGTGGCGGATTGGGAGCTGGCTGAAAACTTCTCAAAAGGTTAGCCAAAGCTGAACTGTTACACCCGGTGGATGTGGTGGCTGGAGGCTGGCCAGGGCTCAGGTGCACCAAGAAGAGGCAGCAGGAGAGGGCTGGGGAGACCAGCTTGGTGTGAAGCCTTGGGAGCCGGTTGGGGCTCAGGTGCTGGTGGGAGGACAGGCACAGCTCAGCCTCCCTTCCTGCCCCACCTTGCAGGGGTTATTGCCCCTCTGCTGATGCTGACTGCAGCAGCCATGAGCCTGTCTTTCCAAATTTCTGGCAGAGAAAAGTCTGTGGTCCAAGGCAAGTGCTTTTACTTAAAGCCAGCCCCTGGCAGTGGCCTGAATGAGAACTTGGAAGAAATCTGAAACTGCTGAGACTTGTAAAAAGATCTCATAAGGACAATGCTGCACTTGGGCCAACTGCTGCAGAAGACAGTTGTGTAGGTAAGATTAAAGTTGGTTGGCTGTAAGGCTGGTTCAAAGGTGTATTTGCTTCTCATATTTGCCTTGTTATGGAATTGTGCTTTTCATTATATTTTGCTGTGCACAAACTGGTTTGTCAGGACAGCAGCAAATGCATTTCACAAAACGACCAGAAAAGGGGGAGAGGGATACTGCTGCTACCAGTATAGACAAAAGGTTCTCTAGGCAGCCTTCCTGCAAGCCAAGAAGCATAGCTTTATTACGCTTCGTGTAGATCCAGAGCTGCTGTAAACCGAGGTAGCTCTGTTGAAGTTAGTGATGTATGGCAAGTTGTAGCACCCAAAAACGTAGTCCTAATTTCTCTTTCATGTTTTTAGCTTATTGTTATCAGATACTGCCAGTTGCTCACTCTGTGAGGGTCATTGCATTCTGTTATTTGGCATTCTAAATAGAGGCCAAATCTTGTCTCTGATTTGACTAAAATCATTAGGATTACTTTTCTCACAAATGGAATTCAAAGGTATTTCTGCACTGCCTTGGGGTGGGCTGCTGCAGCACCCATGAAGTCACCTGAGCTAGATTAACTTTTGTGAGGCTGGACAGCAAACTTGTGCCATCGCTTCGCTCCCCATGACTTGGCTGAAGCTAGCTTGGGAGTGTCTCTGCTGGCTGCAGTCATGCCTGACTGCAATTAGATTTATACGTATAGATTGCCCTAGTAATTGATTTTTGCTCTCACTTTGACAGTAAAAACATAAAGATACTTAAGCAAAGGAAAAGTTAATAATGACAGTATACAGTAATTCACGTTCCTCAGCAGTACCATTGACAGCCTGTGGCCCACTAACGGCATCCTTATGTGCTGTCATACTCAAGAAGAGTAGGTCTTTCCTTCTAGCATGGCAGATTGTGAGCCTGCTCACTGAATTCACTGGATGGAGGCCTTGTTGTTTGTTTTCTGGAATGTTCTGTCTTTTCTTTAAAGGTGTCAGATACACAAGGCAGGCTGGGAACTACCAGGAAACCTGAAAGACAAGTGACTAGAATGGTTGTCGTTATGATCATTGCCTTTCTAATCTGCTGGACGCCATACGCCACCTTTTCTATCCTAGTCACTGCATACCCCTCCATTGATCTGGATCCTCGTCTGGCAGCAATTCCAGCTTTCTTTTCTAAAACAGCTACTGTTTATAATCCAATTATTTATGTCTTTATGAACAAACAGGTACCGTATGCTCTCAAAGTGTCTTTAACACTCATATTTTGTTATTTTGTCTTGCTTTATAATGAATTATTTCTAACTACCTACACGTTACTTAACCAGCATTGCAATATCCAGCATTTAGAACTAAAAAAAAAAAAAATCACTGTGTATCTACCTTCTGGAAGATAGCATAAGCCTCTGTGCATTATTAAAATATGAACGTTAATAATTATTAGGTTTAGGTATTATAAAGGAAAATCAGCCCTTAGTCAACATCAGTTAGTTTTCTGTATGAAAATTCTATTTTCAAGACTGTGCCAGTACATTTTTGTAATTCTTTAGGAATGCAACACCAATGAGTTGATTTTGAGGTGGGGTGGAAGTTTTCAATAGCTTGAATTTATGTCAGGGGAAATGCTGCATTTGTGGTTGTCTGTACAGGGCGGGTAGAAGCATTGCATGTGCTTATGGGACCTGGAGCTTTCTTCTCTGGCATGGGGGCAGAGGACTGGATGCAGAGAAGAAGAACTGACAAGGGGATGGACCAGTGCTGTGTGTGCACTGTGGTAACAGGCATGATAATAAACTTGAATAGATTTATGCAATGAGTGTAGCTACTAAGAGTGGTGGCATCAAGCAGAGTATAAGCATATAAATGGAAAGAAGAAAAATAGTAAAGTGACTGTTGAATAAGAAGTGATGAACACATTTATTTATTTAGTCCTGCAGAGAGAGAGCTATCGCTTGTCTCACATCCTATGGTCAGTACCCTGATCTCCCAGTGGGTGGCAGATGTATGCTAGTCTTACCCTGCTCATGGACGTGAACAACATGGAAACAAACCATCTTTGAATAGCTGGGTGTTAGCGTATGAAAGCAACTCATGAGCCTGGAGGAATGACCAATTCTGTCCATTAGGCGTGATTAGTAACAAGCAGAAGAGGAAAAATATTTTTTTACAATAAAACTTCCCAGTAGTCTGGGTCTTTGAAGAACGTCATTATTTCTCAGTTTTAGAGTTCTTCATGGTGGCACAGGCAAATATATTTTATGGGGCTATTTCCTTATATTCCCAGCTGACTCATGAGAAAACTTCCAAGAGTTTTAGCTAAGACACTGACTGCTTTATAGAGATATCTTAAAATTCCTTATGTGTTTTGATCGATCTCTTTTTTTTTTTTTAACTTTCTAGTTCAGGAAGTGTCTGATTCAGATGTTCAGCTGCAGTGCCATAGAAACCACAGAGTCCAACATCAACCCAACTTCAGAGAGAGCAATGCTAACCCAGGACAAAAGAGGCAGTGAGATGTCCACTATGGCAGTACGTAGCACCGTTTCTAAGAGGAAAACCGGAGATGAACATAGAAATTGCCGATCTCTTGCTCAGTTGGCAGCTTCAGAAAACAAAATCTGTCCCATGTAGGGTGGGAGATATGATCATTAATGCAGTGCTACAGCATAGTTCTTGTTACCATCACTTAATACAAAAAATGTTGTCAGTGGGGACATGATACTACTGTGGACACCAGCTTTTGTGATTCTAGGCTCCTGAGTTCGTGTAAGAGTTTCTTGGCTCTGTAGTTGCAGTCAAACACCCAGCCATAAGATGAATCCCTTCCTCCACTGCGTTCCTCTTCCCAGTCCACAGCCTGTCTTCTCCTGAAAATAACATCGGGGAGCCCCGTGTTGCTATGCTGGCAGGTAGCACAGTAAGGATAGGAGAGTTTTATGCTGATGACGCTTCCTTGGTCAGCTGGACAAAAACATGAAGGGGCACATGGCTTCAGTATGTTAATGGACATGTAAATAATATATAGCACACAGCTGTGTGCAACTGGAGGTTCAGACCAGAGAACAGGTCTGAGTGCTTTTTGGTTTGTTTGGGTATTTTTACGAAAAAAGCAGAGAAAGCCAGAGGCTTCTGCACTTATGTCTGTCCTTGATGAGAACCTCATCTGGGCCACTAAAATCTCCAGCACCTTGGACAAGCCATCCAGACTCCCAAGCACTATTTTATTAAGACAAGCCCTATCAAGAGCTGTTCATGTCCTCTCTCTGCATTCCCTCTTTGTCAAGAAAATCTTCTGTGCTTATGGCAACTTTTGAAGTAAATTAATTTGGACTAGATGATCGTTGTAGGTCCCTTCCAACTGAACTATTCTATTTGCTGGAGAAAGGGCCAGTAGCACAGCTTCGAGTGAAGCTGAGCTTTGTGGGACAGAAGTTTTTCTCTGTATGTGCCTGCACTGTGCAGAGCTAAGTTCTATCATGTTCTTGAGACCATGTGGCTCCAGGTGACAACTATTATTTCTGTTTCTTAACAATTACAACTTTCAGAAATCAGTGGTTAGAGAATGCAAATATTCTGTATGTGCTGGGCCACGTTATGTCAGAGCATGTTGGATGTCTGTATTTCCATTTGCACATTTTTACTTTCCTCACTTCTGAGCTAGGTCTTGCCTCTCCAGAAAGCATAAGCAACATCCTAGCCCAGCAGGCAACTTGCAGCAGCCAGTGGCACCATCCTGCTGCTGTTCTCTGAGGAGCAGTTGTGTCTCTCCCTTCAGTCCTTAAATTCCTGTTTCTGCCTACGTCACATCCTCACTACTTTTAATTGAGCTACTGATCCTGGCATAAATCATTAACTTGTTGTTATACCTTTGATATCAGAAGCAAGGAGCGCAACATAAATACACTTCCTGTAAACAGTGAAAAAGAACAGAAATTGCCAGCTTTCCATGGCTGTATTCCATCTCATATATTTAATTCACAAATGACATGCAGCAATATACTTAGCTTTAGCAGAATGTCACTTACGCACATGCAAAAACAAACTACGCCATGAGCGTAATAAAGACAGGCTTCTGTTTTCAACAGCCTTTGGTGAACATTTTACGAAATGTTGCTAAGAGCTGGCATATCAGATTTTGAATCCTATGTAAGATCTATACTTAACTGAATGCATTTTAGAAGAAAAGGCAACGGCTGACTATATTTAGATGCTTTAGTATGGAAAACCGTTATTTCTAGATAAGACATTAATACAGTGCCAGTCGAAACAAATGTTGCTCCATAGTAGAATAGAGAAGCTACGCTAGCTACATACTGTACAGACCTTAGCAACAGAAATGTGATATGGATGAATCGTCCAGTGTTCGGTTTTACATCAAAAAATTACAATTTCTTTACACAGAATAAAGACATTTTGTTTCTACCAGATTTTTCTTCTCTTTTTATTTTGTTAAGTTACAGTTCGAAAAACTATATTGCCCTGAAAAGGAATGACAGGCTACCTGAGGTATCTGTGGTCAAACCTAGTCCCAGAGCAGTACCTTGCTGAGTTGGAAGTCGAGCCATTCCTGCAGCGGATGGGGATGTTGGTGGATCAGGGAAAGGCGACACAGAAACACAGTACAAAACATATGCTGAAACCCTGGTATCTTGCAAAGGCTGACTTTTTTACAATTCTCACGCTCAAGAGGAGACAAAAGCTGTATCTCCCTGCCAGGGGTGGAGGGACAGGCATGGGCAGCGTGGCCCTGCAGCTACTCAGGCCTTGGCACGCTCACATCGACTGCTTGGCCACCCGTTCCTGCTTGTGGCCCCTGACAGCACTCACACCAATGGATGTACAGAATAATTCAGCCCCCCTATTTATTTCCACGTAGCCCTGGCTTTCTGACTCATTTTGCTTTAGCTCTGTGAAGGCAATCTAGACACTGAAGCAGCAATGAGAGCAGCATGTGGGAGAAAGCATGAGCTCTTCACTCGTCCTCCCTGTCACCAGTCCTCTCACGGGGATGGGTCTGGGGGGGTCCCACCCTCTGCAAGCCTCACTTCTGAAGGCAAAGGGGAGCTTGGTGGTGCAAGGAAGGGCAGCCTGCTGCAGGCAATAGTGTGTCTGACATCCAAGACAAACGTGTTAAAAAAGGTAACTATGCACACCTGCTTTAGGTAACTGCTGATAGTTTACATTTTTCATCAAATAGCAAGAGTTATTCAGTAAGATCTTCCTGTTAAAAGGTCTTTTATAAGTGCATAGGTAAAATGTGATCCCTTCAGCAATTTATTTTAGCTATCCCTTATTGTAAAGCTTTCCCTTAACACTCTAAGTGGTCAATCTCTTTGGCCCTACACTTTTTCCCCTTTACCCACCTTTCCATTGTTCTCCTAGGACAGCTATGAATGCAAAGGACCCCCATCATGCTCTTTGTTTTGCATCTTATAAAAGCATGAGACAGCTCTCCGGACCTTTTCTACAACACATGTCCTTTGCGGAAGAAGAGGAGAAGCTAGGAAGCAGTGGTGGTTGACCATGCAAGGGGTGAAGTGCCCATGAAGTGCTGCCTAGCTCCTGCGGCTGGAGACCAAGCGCGATGACTGCAAGGCTGGAGGGCAGGACTGACGTGAAGCTGAGCTACTGGAGTTAATCACTGGAGTGAATGAGCAAACGTGGGGAGGGCAGGATGGGTACCTATACCCTTGCTCCAGAAGAAATGTCTGCATCATGGTGAGTTTTCCTTGCCCAGTGATAGCTGCTGCCATGCCAGACACCGCAAGGCATGGACGTGGTCTCCAGCAAGGGGCAAGGTCAGGAAGAAGGCACTGCTCAAGAAGTAATACCTGTGAGTATCCAGGGGCTGCCTTTCTGTAGGCAGTCTGGTTAACTCTACCATCCTACCTTTAACGGTGCAAGTCAGTGGGTGCTGTAGGAATCTCTTGTTGTTGGAATACCTTTTAACATTTCCCACAAAGGACAGCCATAACTATGCCATCCAGGCCTCACCACCCTTTTCCCTGGAGGTGTCAAGCTGTGTAGCTATTTGACAATTCTCTTTTTGTTAGAGAAATTTAATTGCAAGGCATAGCAAAGTCGTTTGTAACATTTCAAAAACCTAATTTTTAATAAGCGATTTTTGTACACTGCGGTCTTCCTCTTAACTCATCCTTGACTCAAAATTAATCTGAATCTTATCCTTTTTATATTTTCTGAGTAGGATTGTTCAGATTCAAATGCCCTGATTTTATTTTAGAATGGTAAAATCCAAAGAGGGGCGTTAATCTACAAATAACACCATGAACTGCACATATGAGAATTCACTGCAAGACATCTATGGTCTTCATATTCATCTCACAAAATGTCATGAGATGATTGTCTTTTACAGTATAATTTTGGTCTCGGTGGGCTTGAACTTCTGCAGTGCTCAATCTTAAACCCAAACTATGAACTGCATTCTGACAGACACATCCTTTCGTGATTCACATTCTTTACCATTAATGCTGTGGGATCTAGAGCAGAAAAGTGAATAGATACCTATGCCTCTTTTAAATGTTTTGGAAATATTGTGAGATAGGAAGGGTAAGGCATTCAATTATTATTTGTATGCACATTTTTGTGCTCATTAGTCTGTTAAAACAGTGAGGTATGATATGAAAGCAAAAATTCTTGCATTTGAGACTCAGATTTTCTCCTTCAAGGATATGTTGACCTAGGTTAATCACATGTTAATGGTATTAGATGTATTAAATCATGAAGAATTGGCAGAAGTGTTAGTATTTAATTAAAAGCAACAGAATTATTTTATCTCCTGAGAAGGTGAGAATACATAGAGTGTAGCTCTGTAGTACAAAATAGAGCATCAAAACTTAAGTAATGGCAACGAAAAACATAATGTAACTATGCATGGAAAACCTTAGAAAATAGCAAGTTCAAGTGAGATTTGCCATCTGATAAGTGGCAATATCATCCTCAATACAAGTCACTCGTGATGAAGTGGTACTGGTGAGCCTTTTAGACTATTTCACCAAGGAAAACTTGGTTTGCATCTATAAATTAAGGGAGGACACCAGTTTGTAAAGATAGTCAAAGGCAGTGTCTCCAACTAACAAAAATGGAAACACACCCACCTAATACGTTAGTAGCCAGGGCGAGGTTAGCCGCAGGTCACGTTACTATTGTGCGTGGCGGGGGGGGGATCCAGGGGGCACGTAGCCCCAGGGCCCGTTTTTTTTGTGGGGGGGGGGGGGGGGGGGATAGTCTGACACCAGGCTTTGAATTACTGCACTCAAAGCGTTATAAGGGTATTCACAGAGGCGCTTTAGGGCAGTGCTCACACTTCAGCCACAGAGCAGACAAATAACCTTGGCTTTTTTGTGAGGAAAAGGGAGAACTACGGCACAATAGGAACAAAGCAGGAATCCTCAGAATGAGAGAACATATAGCAATACACTGAAAAGTCTCAACATTAAGCCCTGCTTCCTTTTGCCTGGTCATAAGCTAGAAAGAGAAGGCAAGATTTTCTCCCCAGGTTAGGTACAGGGCTCCGCACTGCCTATCCGCCTGCAGCACTCCTGCGACAGCCACCTGAGTACTTGCAGAGTCAAAAGTTCTAACGTGATTTTTTTTCTGTGCAAAACCAATTGTCATATACATTTTTTTCACAGGAAACAGTTTTGAGATAACTTTCAGGGACTGACTTTTCGAACAAAAAAAAATGAAAAATTTGTTTAGAAACTGCAGCATTTCTGTATTTTTTTGGTTATTAAAGTTGGAAGATAATAAGAAAACACGGGGGAAAAAAACCCTATTTTCCTATACATTATTAGAGGCTTCCAATTGTTGCCATTCTCTGGATGACGATAAAGCGCTGACAGTATTCTTTTCACAGAGAATTCTTTGTCAAGGTGTTAGTTTTTAAAATGAAAGGGAATTTTAACCACTTTCTTACTGTTTGCCCTCAGCTGTTCTGCTGT